ATATATTATAATAAATGCCTTTATTTCATTAGACCACTAATGGCAGTGCACAAAGCCAGAACTAAATTGCTTATGAATCATTTTGGGCTGCATACAAAAGGCAATTTTTTAATTGTGTAAAGATGATAGAGCAAGTCCTCTTTCCAATCTACCTTTTCGTCCACTTAATTAATGCTTAAATCATGCTTAGATAATTCGGAGGCCTTCTTTTAATTTTTAATTTAACAGTAAGAATTGGGCTGTGAAAGGAAAGGCTATGTGGCCGACTTGTTACAAATATAAAAAATGTTTTGCAAGAAGATATTCTCATCCTAACAGTCCTTGCTTGGCCTCCAGCCGTGGGGCATTTAGACAAAGATAAACAAGAGGCTCTGGGGTTATTTATAACTGATGAACAGTTAACAAAGAAGCAGCTTTTGCACAATTTTTTTGATAAATAATTATGTTATCTGATCACTACATAAGGTAGCACAATGTTCTCAACCTTTTTGGTTTAAGAATTCTAAAATACAAGAAAACTTAACTGTTTATAATTACGCATACATTATGTGAAAACATTACATACGTTATGTGGTCTAAATTTTTTACGATGTTAGGGACAACTGAGGTGTTAATAGATAAAATGATAAATGAACAACAGCCTAGAGTAGTCTATTTTGCACAAAATATTTTACTTACTGGGGTAAGTAATTGTTGATGATGACAACTGGATTTTGCAGTATGCCACCTTTGATAGGGTGCGTAACATTATAGCTTGATCAACAGTAATATCATGGTTTACTCGCCAATCCTAACCACACCTGCTCTCCACCCTCCTTGAGCTTACACACAGCAGTGGCTTACTTAAGCATAGAGCATCTTAGTTTTCTTGGTTTTTGACAAATAATGATGAGCCAAATTAAAACTTGCTTCCACTCGTCATTGATTCATTTCTGGTAAAAAATTTTCTTAGTTGGAAACCCTCATGTTATAACACAAAATAATGAATTTTATGGGAACTAAACAATTATACATTATCAAAAGCTGTGAGCAGATATTGTAGTTTAACTCTATAAAGCACCACATTCAGTTTCGCTACAACTGCAGGGGGTGGGGATTGGGGGTAGGGTACTACCCCCAAAAAATCAGTTCAGGTTGGCCCTGCTTTATGTTTTTGCCTTGCCAAATTTTGACCAACCTATGTGATTTTCACTATCCTATTTCGGGCCTGATCCAAAATTCAATCCTCAATTTCAAACCAGGCCCTGCACTCCACTCTCAAAACATGATGAGAGAAGCTACCTAAGAAAATGCTTTCGGGTTGTGTTACTCAAAGTGTACTTCTTGGGGGGGGACCTCTTAAAGCATACAGTCTATATACAATGCATATATCACTCTATGTACATTTCACTGTTCCAGATAAGAAAGTACAGCTGTATACCTTATGGTAACCCATTCTAGGCATTCAGATAGTGAGAAGTAGAGCATTAAAAAAAGCAGGTTTTTAAGCCTCCCCTCAACCTATAAGCCCCCCAGTTATAGGCCCATTTACCATTGAACAAGAAAAAATGTCCCCCTGGTTGTAAGCCCTCCCCTAAGAAAAAAACCGTTAAAACCTCTTACAAAGATATGTAACCCATGAGCTCATAAGTAGTCGTTAAACAGGTTTCTCTCTGGATGCATTTGCATAATTACCATCACTTTCTACTAAATCAGGGTCCTAGGAAACACTTTTTATCAGTAACCGGTAATCAAAAGTACATATTATACACTTAATGTCAGATCCCGAGGGAAACAGTTAGTTTTGTTTTCCCAAGAGTCCTGATGTTTCCCGAGACGAAGTCGAGGGAAACATCAGGACTCGAGGGAAAACAAAACTAACTGGCTTCCCGAGGGACCTGACATTAAGTGTTTTGTTATATTTCTAGACTTTCACTTCAACAGCAACAAAAGAATAACCGGAGCGAACCAAAACAGTCGACTCGGTACTTATAACAACACAAATTTAATTCTCAAAACCACTGAATGAATGATTTACAAACAAAAGTACTTTCCTCATATTATCTGCATCTTTTTCCTCCACTAGCTGCTGTTTTTCTTCTGGGAACTTCTGGGATAACTTTAAAAATCGTTGCTTTTTAGCGTGAGGTTTCGTTTTTGTGTTGTTGTGTTCATTCACGAAAAAGAAAACTGGCTGGACCTGGCGGTGTTTTTCCCGCCTTCTGTCATACCACTTTCCACCATGCTTTGATCACGTGCTGCAATGTATCCCGAGCGGGATACATTGTTTAATGTATCACGATCGGGATACATTTGATTTTAGTCAAGGCCACGTGACCAAGAATCAACCAATGGCAGTCCCTGTTTAGTTGAGTGAAAGTCTAGGAATATAACAAAACTGTTTATACCCCTACAACAGAGGTGACAAGAGCTCACCTATACTGTCAAAGTTACAAAATCATGAACACCACAAATATTAAGGAATGCTATTGCATTGCAAAGAAAAAGCTAACAAGGGCTGAGAAAACAAAACCTCAAACAGCAATGGTAATTACTTTTTGGTTTTAAGATTTGGTCATGTGTACGGAACTTTATGGTGATTGGTCACTACACAATCAACATTTTTCTGGTATTAATGATTTTCTGAGTCAGACAGCAAAATTATTGAAAACTCTCTCTCTGAGGTACTTAGTTAGGAGATGATACCCGAAATCTTTAGGAGGATAAAACCTTTTAGCAGAACACTGAATAGCCGCCATAAACACCAAATGACCCAGAAGTTTTATGATTAGGGTTAGGAAACTGGGGTTCAAGTTTCAGTTAGGGTTAATATACTGAGAGAACTGAACTGGAATTTGATTCACCCAGTACTGTATAAAGTTGCCATGCATGGAAGCCCATGAAGGTGTATTAGACTGTCACTTCTCCTGGACAAACCTTGTAATATATGTTTTCTACCCTGGGCAGGTAAAATGATTAATATTGATTTGTTTCGACGTAAATCCTTGGGTTGACTAACACGTGTTGTCCATAAAAGCTCATGGGCAAAATTAAAACCCCGACATGCGACACCACAAAAGGAAATAAACATAGGAAAAAACACAACCAGCTCGAGTTAACTTAAATGAAAATTATATTTTACTCTCCTAACACAACTCATGAATGGTTTCGTTTCAAAAAGCGTTTGAAGTCAGTAAGATAGCAGTTGCAGGACATGGAACAAGATACCTTTTAGATTGACTTTTTCCCGCATTATATCGATCTTCGCGATATTGCTTTTTGTTCGCCAAACGTAATGAAAAAAAAACTCACATAACTCAGACGATAGTCTGCCGATTAATTGTCTCAGTTCTGCAAATCAACAGTGTGTTCAGCCGGTTTCTGTTACTGTCTTCTTCTTTTAACCCCAAATTATCAGTGAATCCAAGTTGAGTGAAGTGGTGCATTTTTCAAAACACCCCAAAGAAGCCACTCTCTGGAGAGAGCTCGGGAAGTAAAAAATTTTCCCCCAGTGGAGCGGTGAGGGACAAAAATCCGTTATGAGCATGAGCAGTGATATTTGTAACTTTTGCACATGCGCGACCAGATGTCAGAAATTTTCTGACATCCGGAAACGGCTGCTTCCAGAGCCCCTCGTTTCCCGACCACGTGACCAAGAAACGAAGGGCTCTGGGCACGAGAATGGGGGGCAAGAGTCCAGGTGTCAAGTTGAAATAATGATCGCCTTTTTCCAGAGAAATATACAGTGAAAGACCATATTTCTAGAAAAAAGCCAACCATTATTACATCCAAACACGGCACAAAGATCTTTTTTCCCATTACAATCTTATTCTAAGAAAACTTTAAGAAAAAATGTCCCGAAAAGCGCTCGAAAATACAAACGAAATGTGCTCATGCCCCTGGGCATCCTATAATACTCCTTAAATCGAATTAATTCATTATGGCCGCCGTATCGGTAAGAAGGTCTATTATTGTAACAAGTCTGACTTGGGTGTCGTGGGTCGAGGGTACTATGTCGAGGGTCGATTTTTTTGTATTTTAATTTTGTTTTTCGCGTTTAGTTTGCACAAAAGTTTAGTTTTTATTAGCGCTGATTCAGAGTGTTGACAGATGTGCTGTAATAACGGTGTACTACCAAAAGTTGAATGATTTTTTCTCCTCCCCCAACTTTTATGGTCCACCCCTAATCACGATATTACCAATGTTTATTAAGTACATGTATACTCTAAACACCAACAATAAATCCCTTGAAAGTCCTGTAACGTGTCAACAGTTAAATTGATAATTTCTCTGAACAGCGGACGTGACGTCCGAGATCGCAGAAATAACTAATGGACCAATCATTGCCAGGTTGCTGTTTTATTAACAGAATGTGCCTTTTTTTCGTAAAAAAAAATTGCAATACTGCAAGAACCTGTGTTACGAAATGCGCTGCCTCGTGGTCTCCTAGTATCGACATAAACTGTTTGGCTTTTTTCTTTGTCGTGATTCGTAAAAAACGAAAAAATAAAATAAAATAAAATAAATATTTTTTCATCCTTTCCGCGTAAAGCTAGCGTTTCGTTTTCATTTTCCTGTGATTAGAAGTGGGGGTTGGGGGTGGCAATGTCCCCAAAAAATACATACAAGGCGATGGATTGGTAGAATATATTTTGCGCAACTTTCTTGACCGAAAATGAAGAATCTTGCAAATAAGAATTATCTTAGTGCAATGACCGCTCACCCTAATAACCACTTACACACACCTGTTTTCCAACGGTAATTTTCACGCAACCTGTTTGAAGCATAAGTAACTCGACAAAAAGTTCCTCCTTTTCTGAGTCAGCACTATTTAAAACTGACTGAATCGGAATTCGGAATGAAGATAACGGGTCGTTCAATAAGCTAGGGGTAAGACAAACTTAAAGCAAGGGGCACAAATACACCAACCCACGGCCTGGTCAGTACCTTACGCATGCACACAGCCATATTACCGGGAGAGTGAAAGCCATGGACAGCTGTCTCACACTCATTAGGGCTTATCAGCATGAAATGGCAGTCAGATCCCTGCTGTAAGGTTTGTTCACGGGTCCTTGACTGTATATGGCTGACAATGTCAGGAGAATTGCCAGTAAGATATGTCTGTATGCATGTGTAAGGGTACTGGCGTCACTGGCTTGGTTTCTTGTTTCAACTTGAAATACACAGGGCTTTGATTTGCAAAGGTTCTGCCACATGGCATATGCATTGGTAAAACGTTTTGGAAATTTCACGTTGTATAACGTAATCGTCTTTATGGATACCCAATTTGTACTTTTTTAAAAAAGAAGCAAACTGGTTTCGCCATTAAAACGATAAAAGGTGCGAACAAAATGCATTCTCGAACAGTTATATTGACTTCTTAAATTAAAGAAAGGCACTTACTAAGCTGAAATTTGTTCATCAGCTGTCTTACTGCCACTTGCTTTTCAGCGGAATCATTTAGTGTGGCAATCTGTATATGTATTAATACAAAAAACTTTAATTAATAGCCTGTTCTAGACCTTATAAAAGTAGTTTAACAGAGCAAAAAGAAACGTGTGGGTACTAGGGAGACACTGAGCCCCCGTTTTAGCGCAGACCCTACTAACTGAGAGCCTAGAAAAGGCTACAGGGTAAAAGAAAATTAATCCATGCAATTTCGAAAGGTCTACGCTAAAATAGCTTATTAATAAGAATTCGAGTTCATGAACTCTTTCTGAGATGTGTTGACTTACTTTTATGATTTTGCTTGTGCCTGAGCCCTGTGTTCCCCCAGCCTTAACAACCACAGTCAAATCTGATGCCAAACCAGCGGAAAAGAGACCAAACACGACAAGGCCAACTAAAAACCATATTATGGCGAAGACCTTGGCCTTATTGGATTTTGGCTTTCGGTCTCCATACCTGCAAGAAGATCTTAAAAGGTTACCCTAGTCACATTTTTCTCATAGAGCGGGTCTTCAAGACTTTGCTTAATTTAGTACTACCTAGGTGTACTGCGGAATTGAAAGCCGTAAAAGCTGGATTACCGGCTTTTGAAAGAGAGTACTAGTAAAGGCATAGTTTGGTTGGACACTTTCTCTGATATTAGATGGCTTAGGTTTCAATAGAATGTGGACTTTGATCTTATTCCTGTTGTTGTTATGTCTTTTCTGATGTAAACAAAACATATACGAGTAGCTAACATCAACACCTCATGCAGTAAGGCCTGTTACTTACCCGAGCGTTGTCATGGTGATAAATGCCCACCAAAACCCTTCTCCGGCACCTTTATAAAATATCAGAGGAAGTTCCTCTGGATTGGTGGTTACATCCTTCATAGAAAATTTCTACTGTTAGACAAGATCACCAAATTTTATTGCTGTTATTTGGATATGCAATTTCTTGGCCCACAGTTAACCAAAAGGCTAGCCCTGGCAGGCCACAATATGTAATTAATAGAAAACAATTTACAAGATAGAGATACTGGGCAAGCCCACTTGTTCAGTGTTAGGCAGCCTAAAGATTTTATCGTTTTAGTGGTAGCGATATGCGTGCATTTCATTAATGACAAGACATATCTGTTCTTTCTGTCCTTATGAAACAGTGGTACTGGTTCAGTACTAACAATATCCTTCTGATCGATACTGGATTTCTTTGACCAGGAAATATCAGATATCTGATGCACCCTATTAAAAACTGTTAACACTAATCAGTTCTGAATGCTTCTTTCAGCTCCCTCCTTCTTCATCGAAATCGGTTGAAGCTTGTTATTTTATTTCTCAAGCTTTATCATATTTTGCCTTGCATTCATATGAAGTATGAGGCATTTAAGAGATTTACTTAATCCAGAAGTACTTGGACCTTTAATGTACATTCAAATTAAAGACCACAACTGTAACCTTAGTCCTTAATAAATACTCACGTAATACGCGCAATTTTTTTTATTCTGTATTTAATTTAAGGAGTCAGTAGAAGTTTTAAAGTTATTCTTACCAAAACCCAAATCACCAAACCAGCCAAGATGGTCATGACTCCAGAAACTGCAAATACCGGCCACGAACTGAACACCGATACTGCCATCACTTTCTCCATGCCACCTGGAATAGACTTTCTTTGCACAACAGCTAGACCAGGCACTTCAATCACAGCTACGAACTTGCCTCTTGAAAAGCTCCCGCTAGCTATTACAACCAGATAATTCATATTCACGTCTCCTTCTGAATCCGATACCTTAATTAAATTTGTTCTGCCAAAGGCGTGACAAGTTCCACAAGCGTCAACAACTAGTTCCTCGATTATTTTAGACAACGAGATGTGATCGTCGTCCAGGGAACTTGGATTCTCGACGACCGTTACGTTTTCAGGGCAGCTACAAGTTTCTGGAAGACACAAAAATATGGCAAGTTGCAGTAATTAGGATACTTATTTATACGTTTCTTATAAAAT